GGAAACGGTGCGGCCGTCCGAGAAAGAGGGCAAAACGCGGGACGGCCGTCCGAGGCTATTACTGGTCGTTTTAAATTCTAAAAATTCGATTTTGTCCCCATTTCTTCCTAAACCCTTCTCTTTCATCCTCACAACCTCCCACACACAATTTTCGAATGGAGGCTAGAGCATCGAGCCAACTTCTTCAAAATCTCATCTTTCAAGGCACGCCCGAGTGCATCGAGCCGGCATCCGCCGGCACCCATTCTTGAGCCCGTGTCCGAGCCGCCGATGAAGATGAGCGTGAGAGAGCGAGGGAGGAGCACCCCGATCACATCGACCCCGACTAAATCAGGTGTTTTCTATCCTTAAACTTTGTGCTAATTTCGTTGAGGGCAACGAAAATTATAAGTTTGGGGGTGAAAAACATGTTATTTTTGTGCTTAATTGTTTTAGTTTGCATGCATTAGGTTTTATTCGTTTTTATTGTTTTTCTCGTTTTTCCGGAATATAAAAAAAAAAAAAAAAAAAAAAAAAATAATTTGCTTGAGTTGAATGCATCGATGATTTGTGATGATGAGAGATGATCAATGTTTGATGATGAAATTGCTTGTTTTGTGTGATAAGGATTTGATGTTTGTTTAGCTTTCGATTCAACGGGACTTAGAAGCAAATTATTGCTAGGAATCACATTTTGTGCATTGATTTGGTTGAATGTTTGGTATTTTAAATTTGGAATTAATTTGTGCTATATCATGCTATGTTCGGTTTTAGAACTCACCCTAGGAAATTTATGATACGAAGTATTGAGTAGTGAGTGATTTGGGATATGATTTGGGCCTTCTTTGAACCGTTTGAGCCTTCAAGCCGACCTTTTTATCGAAATTATCCTTAGAACCTTGATTTGAGCCTCGGAGCACAGGTGTCCTTTCTTTAGGCAATGTGTTAGGTACAATAGGTCTTGAAAATTCCCCCCTGGAAGTTCAGTCGAAATTTTTTTTAAGGTCCTTTTTTTTTTTCGAAAAAAAAAAAAAAAAAAAAAAATTAAATTAAAAAAAAAAAAGAAGACAAATATTTATGCTTCTTTTTATTTATATTTAAAAAATAAAAAAAAAAAAAAAAAAAAAAAAAAAAAAAAAGAAGAAGAAGAAGAAGAAGAAGAGACTAGAAGGGAGAAATAAGGACTAGTTGTTGAATTATTTTTGAAAACTCGATCCATTGCCTCAAAAGCAAAAGTGGAGACTTTTGAACTTTTGAGAATCGAGTTTATTAAAGTCCGTATAGGTGAATTCATTGTTTCAAACGCCTGTCTTTCAAATTTTGGCGTAATCACCTAAATTCAAGAAGAATAGCCACACATACCCATATTTCCTACCTCGAACCAAAGAGCCTAACAATTGAAAGCCACAAAGCCCCAATGATCCCAATAGCTTAATGTTCGATATTAGTAGAGTAGAATAATTTGGTGAGTATTTGGAGTCAAGCATATGCATGTAAGTATAAATTTTCTCTATTTTTAACTTGCAAATATGGGATACTTGAAGCAATTGTATGATTTGTGGTTTTTTGTAATGGTGAGTGACTAAGTGTTGTTGAATTTTGAGCTTGCGAATGTCTAAGGAATTGTCATTATAATTACAAGTTCTGAAAACGTGAAGTTGATCATTGATCTATGTGATGAGATGTTATCGTTGAGTTATTTGCTTATTGGTAGATTTTTGCTTGAGGACAAGCAAAAGTTCGAGTTTGGGGGTGTGTTAAGTGTATATTTTTACACTTTATCGTATCTTTTTATTTGAGCTTTTGGTGTGTTTTAACGATAATTGGTGCTTAAAAAGTTGATTTATTGTATTTTAGGTACAAATTGAAGAATTGGAAAAGTATGGGGTCAAAACTGCAATTTTGGAGAAAATATGGGCCAAAAGTGAAAAAAGCAGAATTCTGGAGAACAGACCGCGCGGCCGTGCGGATTTTAGGCATAAATCTCACACGGCCGTCCGGATGGGCGAGTTGGCGCAGTGAAGGAATCTTAATTGTACAAGGAAACTGCCTTCTTCCCCAAGTTTTTCACCCTATATAAGACCAAGCCAAGCACACAATTAGGGATCCATCTTTTGACGCAATTTCAAGAGCAACAAAGCAATAACGAAGAATTCGAAGACTCCAAGCAAAGATTTATCGTCTATGATTTATTTTATTTGCGTTTTTGATTTAATTATGAGTAGCTAAACTACTTATTTCTAGGATTTTATTTGGAACCCTATGTGGGATTTATGAACCCTTTTCTATGATTTTATGCAAGTTTTAATTCCGGATTATTTCTTCTACTTGTTTTATTAAGTTCATGAAACTGGCCACTTTATGCGCTTTTATGTTATTGTTAATCGCATGAATCGGAAGATCGGGTTAATAATTAGAACTGTGGTAGAAGAGCCTTTGTGGTATTAACATAGGAATATAGTTAATCTCTTAGGTAGCCATTATTGAGATTTGTGCTTCATGCTGTGTTCTAGAATTAATTGCATAGGAATATAGTAATTGAATCTAGAGTATTAGAATCGTAATACACGCGGAAGCGGGTTATGATTATTTTAGCATCTCAGGTTAATAATCCGGGTTAATTGCTTGCATAATTGAAGGAATTGGGGGAGTAATAATCACATAGGGGGAAGAATAAAATCCTAGGCTTGTCTACTTTGATTAATCTTCGTATTTTTAATTGCTTTCTTGTTTTTGTGTTTTTAATTGTTTTAGTTTAATTTAGTTTATTAATCCTTTTTCGACTGTGTAGGGTGGGCTTGATAACAATTGGTAGAATTTAGCGTCTAGGATTAGATAATTAAATATTCCCTGTGGGTTCGATATCCGGACTTAATAGTCCACTATATTACTTGTACGATACGTGCACTTGCGTGTAGGTTTTCGACCAACACTCACTATTCATGAAAATCAAATAAAAATTGATAAATAATATTGTTCGTCCCTTAAGTATACCTCAATTTCAGAGTTAATCATTTTTGTTCTCCAAAAACAGATTTAGTCTCTAATATTTCAAACATTTAACACATTTGGTCTTTTCTATCCATTTTCCGTTATTACCTAACAAAATCAAGCATGTGACTATCACTATCTTGACCAGACTATTTAATGAAAATTTGACGGAGATGATTAAAAGTGTTAAATGTTTAAACGTGAGCGACTAAATTTTAATTTTATGAACAAGAGGGATCAAATACAAAATTAAGATAAATTGGAGGATTAAAAGTGTAATTTTCCAAACAAAACTATATGAAAAGCTTACTAAAAAGATCGAAATCTAAACAACGTATTTAAACTAATTATTATACACGAATTCATACTAAATTGATATTTCCTTATTATGAATAATTATTCTAAATACTTGACTGTGTTTTCTGTCTACTTCCAAAATATATACAAACATTACTTTCGTAATTTAATTCATAAGTTATTTCTCCAAAACATCTTCCCCAAAATAAAATGGAAATAATCCCTGTAATTTTTGGTTGCCCTAATTCCCATCTCCAACTTTTCTAATTACTTGATGCAACAGAAATTCGATCTAAATATATACAGTCCTAGTAAGTCGACAACTAGCTCACCGCTTCCGTGCAATAGCACACTGTGTGGACCTACAAGAGCATGTTTGACTAGGTCTAATACTTGTGCTTACCAAGAATTATACGGCACTTCCTCGAGTACAGGAATATTAGTCGATGATGTTTTGCATTTGGGTACAAATACCAATCCACAAGACATCGTTGATGTCTCGGTTACATTCGGGTGTGTAACCCTTTTTTTTTAAATTCGATAATTTAATATTCCGCTAAATAAATATAATTTTGTTAGTCACAACTGTATTAATTTATAAATGTTTATCTACCTGCATCCTGTGTTTCAGATGTGGAAAGAATCAAACCGGTTATTTCTTGGAAAGTGGTGGGGGTATTAATGGCATATTCGGACTTGGTATGGGCGGTATATCCGTGCCTAGCATTTTAGCTAGCAAAAGTGTTACCGCAAATTCTTTCTCCATGTGTTTCGCCGAATCTTCCGGTAGAATTGAATTTGGAGATAAAGGAAGTGCAGACCAAAAAACAACTCCATTTAATCTTCAAAAATCAAAGTACTAAGCAAGATTAATTAAATCATAATTCTTTTGCTTTAATTTTATTTATGTTTTATTTTTTCCATCTTTATTTATCTTCCCATCTTTCTCGCATGCAGCCCGACTTATAATATCACTGTCACACAAGTTGCTGTGGGTAATAATGTGACCGATCTTGAGTTCACTGCAGTTTTCGACTCCGGTTCCGCGTTTACACACTTGAACGAGCCAACTTACTCTTTTATTGCAAACAATGTGAGTTGTACACATAATGTTTATTTTATTGCCCATGCATGGACGATGAACTCTGATATGATTGCATTGTACTTTCCTCGTTTGCAGTTCATTTCGCAAATAACCGAGACACCTTATAAATTCCCATACGAGGTTATTTTCGAGTATTGCTATTCACTCAGGTGCGTTTTGATTTCTCAGGGTTTATTGCATTCAACACCCATGCGTCTACTCTAATTGTTAACAAAAATCATCGTGTTATTAATATTATAATGCAATTTACTCTACCACTTAGGGGGTTGTGTGCTCAAAATAAATGCATTTTTTAAGGGATATTTTAGCGATTCGATATAACAGAGGAGTACTAAATGCAATAAACACTTAATTTCTCATTGACCTTTTCTAAAATCTGGTAATATTATTTTGGCTTCATGATTTATATTCGATGCAGTGCAACACAGGATGGCTATACAACCCCTAACTTGACCTTCACAATGAAAGGTGAAAGCCAATTTTACGTTACAACACCAACGTTTAACTTTATACGGGCGGTGAGAAATTATTAATTACGGCATATATGTATATACGTACGAGAGATTTCCATCTGAAAAAACAAGGGTTCTAATTAAGATTTGTATTTATACACATGCAGGACGGTGGCCAGGGGTACTGTTTGGCTATTGTTAAGAGCGAGGGTATTAACATCATCGGACGTGAGTATTCTGACCATGTTTCAATAAGTTTGCTCGATCCGCAAACTTTCGAATGTTGAGTTTTGAGTGTCGGATTAGTATTCAATCAATTTTGCTCGTCTTGAATAATCTTACCTTCGAGTCTAATCACTACGGTTGTTGAATTCTCATACTCCATGTGATTATTTATCCAATATTAACTTTTTTTTGTCCTTCATGAATTTCTTGATTTCTTGACAGAAAATTTTATGACGGGGTACCGCCTAGTCTTTGACCGTGATGAGATGGTTTTGGGTTGGAAAGAATCTGACTGTGAGTTGATTTCTTCCGCACTTAATGTTTTTCATCATTCTTTCATATATATATATATATGTCAGCATGCATGAACATGCACTTGCTCAATTTGAAATGGATTCAAAACTATATATTAATCTCAGGCTATGATTCCATCTCAACGCACTACAACAAAACTAGCTTTTGATAGCACATTGTTATAGCATTTTTGTAATAAATGCTATAATTGATTATTCCGTTCTAAATAATAAATGAAAATATAAAAACAAACGCTATAGTATTAACGATATTTTTTTGACGGGTTTTAAAAATAAAAAAGGATTTTGGTTATATAAAATACCCAAATTCGACTCGTCTCTTCCAAAGCCACACTTTCTCTGGTGGAGTCGTTCATCCAAAACGAACGCCGTCTCCATCTCTCTATGGCACCGATATGCCGCCGCATCGTCGTGCAGCTTCGCTCTTGTTACATCATTGGTACCTAATCTCGTTCTTGATTCTGATCTCATTATGTAAAGATTGATTCTAATTTTGCAAAAAAAGAAAAAAAAACCCTAATTCTACTCAGTTGATAGCTCTTTAGTTTTGATTGTGGGTGTTCTTGTTTGGTACAATTGGTTTTTTGTTATTCCCTTATAGTGTAAATAGCAATTTCTTATAAAGTTATGTGTCAGTGGTTTAATATTTTTGCAAAAAGAATATTGTTCATGAATATTTTCTTCTTCCTTGGTCCAGATTCTCGTTTGCACACAGTTTCAGCACTAGCAGTGGTTTTGGTGCCTGTTTTGTAATTTTTAACTGTATCGTGAGCAAACAAATATGATGGTTAACACTTTCATCGGGTCGAAACTATGAAGATTCTAATTAAGACCCATCATATATAGTAAGTAACCCTCTGTTCTTTACAATTGAAAGATAATCATTTATTAGTTGTTTTTTATGTTTACTTATGTATTTCCTTTGAAATTTTACATTTTTTGCATGAATCATGAGCAGCTCCTTAACTGAATATGCTACTCCTTTTAAATTATTGAGGTCCTAAACTTGTTATATATGTGTGCAAATGCCTTTTCCATCTGTGTATGCTTAGATTCGAGAGTCCCTTTCCTCCGTCGGTATATTGCCAAAAGTGCAGGCGAACAACGGTTGGTCCCTTATGCATAGATCTCTATTTTACTTTCGATGCATATCCATAGTAGCACAAAGTTTTCGCCTCTTCGTGGGCATTTATTGTTAACAGGGATAATGCAAGAAAAGAAATTAAAGTTACAAAGGATCGAAGTAAAGAGTGTCGACCATCTGTTTAAAAGTTTTCGTTGCTGGCAGACCAATTGATCCAAATTTCTTCCATTAAAATGGGTTATGTTATGATTATTTTATCACTTTTTGTTTGTTTTACCATTCTTTCATATACAACTACGTGTCATCAACATATTATATCTCATGAAGTTTGTCTTACAAGTTCTTTATTTATGTATTTATAATTATCCTTATAATGCACTACTTTCATTACCATATATTGGATGAATTTCTCTGCCTGATATTGATTGTAGAAAGGATTATATGAAGATGGTTTTTTTGCTTCTAAATTCTACTGGACACAAAGGTAAGTTATAAGGTACAACTGTGGAGTTAATCTGTTTATTAGCCACTACATAAATCAAGTAAAACAGCTTTGTCCCTTTTCTTTTCAGGATCTTCATGTGAGTATGGACCCAAATACGTACTATTTAGTTTTGTCGCTGCACTGATATATGAGGTAAAAGTTTTTAATGAATCAAAACCAATTTACAATAATTTTTTTGAACCTGTTGAGGAAAAAGGGTTAGAGTTACTACATGTGTGCATAGTATGGTACCAATAATGATATAATTTGATTATTAGTTGCCAGATTGTTACTCCTTTTGAAGATTATTGGCCATATGTATTTAGTCATGTATGTATCCAACCCTGCTAACTCGATAAGTTACACTGTATATAGTCTTTAGCTATTGAATTTTGCATGACTATTTCTTCTAACAAAAGTACATATCAATTAAAGTTTATTTTTTCCTCACGGTTTAGAAAGTTATAATTAACTAAGATAGCACACACTTTAGTTATTGTGTTATATGTTGTCAGTGGATCTTTCTTTGTTAACTTCACTAATTCGTTTTTGTTTGTATTCTTCTATTTTTACAGGTTGATGATACTGATGAACTACCAATACCGAATTTGACATGCAATGTATTGATGTAGTCTTAAATCCCTTCTTGGGTTTCCCAACAGTTTATGGTCAGACAATCATTGTTTAGTTTTCTTGTGAATATAGTATGAATATTACAAGATAGTTTGATTGTGTGTTGTTTGTGAATTTGGTTCAGATATTAATGATAGTTACTTATTTATTATAATCTTGAACTTTTATTTTATATAATTTATAATATCAGCATTGTCGCATTAATATGAAAAGAATTGCTACAATATCATTTTGATTGTGCAGTCAATCAAAGATAAGGACATTTAAGCAATGCTATTTGATCTAATATAGCATAGCGTTTCATCATTCTAACAAATAATACAATGACAGAAACAAAATGCTATTTTAAATAAAAATATAATAGCTTTGAACAAATGCTATAAAAGTGTTAACATAGCGTTTTATAGTTGTCATAAAAACTAATACAATGACACAAAAACAACGCTATCTAAGACAAACTTATAATAGCGGTTGAAAAACGCTATGAAAGAGTTGGGACCTATTATAGCTCGGGCAGACATAGCGTTTGTAAAAACGCTATAAAATCCTACAATAGCGTTTTTCAAACCCTATAGATAAGGATTTCTGTTGTAGTGACGGAAAGTCCACCAAAGAGAAACCCCACCGGTTCTCCTCCACCACCCACTCGTTCACGTCTACCACAACTACCACCACCGCCACCAGCAACAACAACAATAGGAGCAACAACAAGCGATGTTAGTTCGATGACTAGCGGACTTGCGGTGGTGATACTTGCCGTTTTCTTCCACAACTTCATTGTCCTTTAATTTAATTTATATTTCATGAGGATTTTATCAAGTAGTATGCCTTGGAACACTGTAATAAGTTGGGTCGTAGTAGTAGCTCGTTTGTTGCTACAACTTCTCAGTATTCTTTGGCTGGAAATATATTATAGTAAGAATTTGTCATTTGTCTTTTTTTGTCCTGCACTTGATTTCACTTCAAAAAAAATTGGTATGGATGTATGATTCCCAAATGACAACAATCCGTTGCCATGCATCCAACAACATAGCAGCATATACTAGAGGATCCCCTGTCTTGCCACGGTGGCTCCGCACGAGTTCTGTGGAGGCAACATGTACGTATAGGGGAAGTTAGATGCTACACCTGCTTATTTACACTGGGTGGATTCGAACAGTAGATTTAATTAAATAACTACCTACTAAGCACACATACACATGCATGTGTGTGTGTGTGTGATTATGTGTAGATCTACAGTTCAAATCCACTCGATGTAAATAATTAGGTGTAACCTCTAATTTCCTTACACGTATTAGATATGGGTGGGATAGGGGTTTGTTTGTTATTTTCTTTTTGATAAAATATACCCTACAAAATATAATTATTACCTCCCTAAACCTAGCTATCTACCTTATTTATTATGGTAAATGGCAAATAGGACCATGACAAGAGCGTTTAACTAAAAAAAGTGACATCCAACTTTTTTATTTTGCGAATAAATCCACATCATTCGAACTTATTTGCAAATAAGGAAAACCATTTTATATATACCAAAATTACCCACAACTCCTTAATTTAACTCTAATTTCTTGATTTACATCCAATTTAGCCCATTTTCATCGATTAACTAATTTTGACCCTAATTTTAACCGCTACCGCCTGAGACCATTGGTCAGTCGCCGTTGAATTGTTTTTTTTTTTAACCTTTTTTTTCTTAAAAAGATTATTTTAAATGTCTGAGACAGTAATTTTACTGTATTAATTAATTTTATTGTCTTATCCTGCAATTTTGCTGTCTTCGACCTTAATATTACTGTCTCCGACCGTAATATTACTATCTCATGCAGTAATAGTACTATTTTGGACAATAATATTAGTAATATTGTTATTCGGGAAAGTAATATTTGTAATATTACTGTTCGGGACAGTAATATTAGTCTTCTGGACAGTAACATTAATTACTGTTTAGGATAGTAACATTAGTAATATTACTGTTTTGGTATTCAATATTTCTATATTTCAGAAAATAATTTATTATTAACACAATAATTTAGAGAGAAAAAAAAGAGTTAAAAAAAAAGGTCAACGCCAGAGACCGGTGATCAACAGTGATTTCACTTACATTGGTTATATTTGAATTAGGTGTCAATGTTGATCTCTCATATATTGGGTCTTCAATAGTGCTGTTGGGTTTTCCTTCGTAGGCTTTTCAAGCTTTGTAGGTTTCCTAAACCGTAGGTTAGGTGTTCATGTTAACTGAAATAATTGGGTTTTCCAAGTTTCATAAAATTGTAATCTAGCCTGCAAATAGCTGAAAGACGACGCTTACTCAAAAATGCATTAATGACTCAGGCCACAAAAATAATTTTGCATTACTGTGTTTTTTTTCTTCTTTTTGTATCGTCCATATTAGTGTTTTTATAAAATACACAAAATCTTCCTCTATTTATAATTATGTCATGTTTTTTTGTTGTCAGCTTAGTAGGATCACGTTAATGGCAAACACGACCGAAAAATTAGTCCTAGTACATAAACCTAGTTTTTTTTTCGGGGTGATATTCTCGTAGGTGCAAATCATTAAATCTTGTCACCTTATATATATTTGTGCCTTTTACAATTAGAACAAGGTGGAACATGCATTGTACAATTTCTTCGTTGTTAATGGGTTTCCCTACTATGACACTTGTGAGTTGGTGTTTGCGGAGAAAGAAGCGGGGGCGATAGATTTTAGTGAAAAACAAAGTTTCAACAAAGACGACCCAATCACGATTGACGAAGGAGTTGGATCGGGCGTTGAGGCGGATGAAGACGATGTCCCGTTCGAGTTTGCGTCCCTTAACGAGGCATATGCAATGGTTCCGTTTGGGACTTGGAACGAGGAATATGCTATTGTGCCGTATGAAGGTGTGAATGAAGTTGAATCAGAGGGTTACTATACCGAC